TGTCTTAAAAGTTTTATTTATACCAAAGTGACTTTAAAATTTTAATTTATTTATAACTACGTAGGTATTAAAAGTTATTTATAAAAGAAAACAGTCAAGACGAAGTACAGAAATAGATTTAAGTAGCAAATAAATATCGGGCAATATTGTTCAATAATGTATATGGGTAGTGCTGTTTGATAGTATAAACCAAATACAATAATGTATTTTTTGAAAGATAGTAATAGTTAAAAGTAAAAGATAATTACTATTTAAAAGATTTATTATAAAATAAAGCTTTGCTACTCATTTGTATATCTTTTTCATATATTGAACTTCTTGATTAATTTGATTGGTTAATGCTTATGTGCTATGAATTCTGGAATCTTCTGATCGATATTCTTATACTATAAAAGGTGTGATCCACAATATCTATTTTTGGAATATCCCCTAACTGAACTAATTAAAGTTCTTTATCACTGATTTTCATGCATAACATAAAAGCTCGTTTATTTTCATGAAACTGTTTATGAGCCTTACTCGAAGGACCTTCAACTTCTCTCCTAATTAAGGATAAAGAATTAAAACATTGCAAATAATTATATGATTGAAAAGAAAATATTACCAATTTGTTTTATGCATTACAGAGACTGGTAATTCTGCAAAAGTAGCAGTTAGCAAAGATACTAATACCTCTGCAACATACATGTCTTCATTAATCTGGTCTAATATATTTGCTATTATAGCATAATATTGAGTTCTCTATATATTCACTCTACAAAAGTAAATAAAGTAAATAAAGATTTTAATAGAAATAATAAATTAAATAATAAGTTTATATCATACAAAGTATTTGATATTATAGTTGTGAATTTTATTATATCTTTTTTTTCATCAAACAAGCTTCTATATTCTACTTTATTTTCAAAGCATTTTCTTTTTTGTCTCTTCTATACTTAATGGTTCTTTACCAAATTTTCAGAAGCTTATTTAAATCAAGATTGTTATCAAGCTTTATTTTTAAAATACCCATCTATTTAGAAATAGTTACTTAATTTTAATTGCAAACCATTTTTTAAAAGTATTGTTACATGTCCTAAATTCTTCTTGACAATCTTGTGAGAAATTTTTGACTAATCCAGATTCATCACAAATAATACTACTTGCTAATAGTTTATCGTAAGTTAAGTCATCGGCTTCTACTTTATATAATTCTTTAAGTAATTGAAAATTAAGATGTGAGCGAGCACTTCAATTAAATACATTTTTGATTCTATGTGTTTTTTCTTAATAAAGAATAAATTAATTATAACAAAAAAATAGATAAAATTGTGACATTTACATTTCTTACCAAAACTGCTTTTAACTTATTAATATTTTTCCAACATTTTTTTTCTACTCAGCAATTTCTACTAGCTAAACAATTTTAGATTAAAATTTATTCAGCATTAATTATTAATATATAGATTAAAAAATTTACTGTTATTAACTTACTTGCTTTTATCAATGCTTCAAGAGCTTTAAATTGAACCCAGACTTTATTAAGTTAAAATAATTTCAAAATTTTAACAGCAAAAATCTTTTTGTATTCTGCTTTAGCCTTGTTGTTCTCCATCACAATAAACATTTTCAAAAACAAAAGTCTGGTACTGTAATATTTTAGTGTGATATAATATTAACCTCTATTATGACATATCACTATAATATCTTCACTATAGATGTGCTATTTATATGATATCTGAATTTTTTTCATGTACAGTACATATAGTGCATACAGTATGTCTAGTTGTATAGTATGCATAGCATATGTAATATATATAATGCATATAGTATTTAGAAATCAGTTATACACAACATTGTGCAAGGAACAATTTTTGTTAGAATACAAAAGACAGTTTCATAATCAAAAATTTGAGATAAGAATACTTTCATTATTTGTTCTAGAATAATTAAAATTTTTTTTTGCATACTGTACTATATGCAGCACATCACTAATCTTCACAAAAAACTGTTACTGTATAGTTTGCAAATTAAATATCTTGAGAGTTAAGACCTTTGGGCTAAATGATGCTTACAAGTGAAATTTTCATCATAATATATTTGGTTTAATCTATAAGACAACCAAACTATGGTATTTTCAAGAGATTTTAGTTTTTTAATATGTTTTTTTTTATTTTTGAGAGTAGTTAAGACTTTAAGTATCTTTTCTTTTGTATCAACAAAAACTTTAACTTCTTTGTCTTTGTTACCAGTCCATTCTTTGGTCTTTATTCTTGCATACAATCATTAAGGTTAGAAATGTAAAAAATCAAGTTGTTTACTTGATTATTTAAAAAAGAAACTATATAAACAACAATATTGTTTTAACAATATTACGAATTGTAATATAAAAAAAAGTAAATGTAGAATACGAAACTACTTAAAATAATTAAAATATTTTTGTCTACTTGAGGCAATTTATATATTATTTGAGTTGTATTCTCTAAATCAACAATGAGTTGTATTTTCTGAATTAAAAACAATCATTTTTATTTTTTTTATATTTATTTTAGCAAGTCATAAAAAAAAATAAAACAATAATTGTCATAGGAATAAAATTAAAAGTGGCAATTTTCAGAGCTACTGATTAATTCTAATGCTTACTACTGGTAAATATTAGAGTTAATATTTAACTCTGGTAGTTAAATATTAATTTTACAAAAATTATACTTACCAAAGTTATAAATTAATTCTACCAAAATTATACTTACCAGAGTTACTAATAAGATAATGTTTACTAGAGTTACAAACAAAATTATACTTACCAGAGAGAGTTACTAATTAATTCTAATCAAGAAATTAATTCTACAAAAATTATGCTTACCGGAGTTACGAATTAATTCTACCAAAAATATACTTACCAGAGTTACTAATAAGATAATGTTTACCAGAGTTACAAACAAAATTATACTTACCAGAGTTACTAATTAATTCTAATCAAGATAATGTTTACTAGTTACAATTTATTCTATCAAAATTAGACTTACTAGTATTACGATTTGATTCTATAAATTTACTAATTCTATTAATTAGGATAATGCTTTCTTGAGTTATATAATTCTACCAAAACATGTTTTCAGAATTACTATTAATTTATAAATTTGGTAAACAATATTTTGGTAGAATTTAATTTGTAATAAATGGTTAACACTATGATATACAATACATGATTTAGAAATATAAAATACAAACAAATGCTATATTCAAACAATTCATTGCTTAAAATTATTATAAATAACAACAGGTATTTTTAGTAATTGATAATACTAAAATAGAAATTAGATTTTTGGAAGCCTGATCTTATTCAATAAATAGAAGGCAATTAAGATCTACAATGCTTTCTTTTAATCAGAATAAAGAGAATACTACTTTAACGAGTTAGAATTATCAATTAAGATAATCTTTTAAGACAATCACAAATGTGGGCAAAATTGTTCTAATATCAAGAATGCTTTATGTATGATAACTAATATATTTACTCTGGCATAATATAAAGTTAATTCATGAATATATGATAAGTTTAGATTATACAGCATATTATTCTACCAAGAAAAGAAAAGTTTACCAAATCTCAACTATTGTTATTTTATTTGTAGAACTTCTCTTAAAATAACCAAGTGCAACAATAACTACATTTCAATTAAAGATAGCATAGCTTAGGATACGTTGATTAAAATTCAGAATGATCACAGAGTGCATGACATGTAATACAAAAATATGTCATTATTCTATGCTGGTTTTTACAAATTATTTTTTTCAACTGAAGCAGCATTTTTAATCTCTAACTAATCATAATATAGTTCACTACCAAGTGAAGATACTGTAAGAAAATAATATTATAGAATCAGGT